TCTCCTCTCCTCTCCTCTCCTCTCCTCTCCTCTCCTCTTCTCTTCTCTTCTCTTCTCTTCTCTGACTCTTCTCATCTCTGCGTTTCATCCGTCCATATTGTCGGAAGTTTGACTTCTAAACTTCCGTCGATAAGCACACCGAAATTCAAAATTGTTGGTGCACGACTGTGCGCCGTGTTGCTGGCTCGGTTTGTTTTTGAACGATTTTAAAGCTTTCCTCCAAGTTCAAGCGCTGTGCTTTGTTCGAAGCATTGGCTCAAAATTTAATGTGCCAACTTCGTAGTTTTGGTGCCAATTTTCGGGCAGTAAAGAACACAATTCTTTTACATCTTGTGGTCTTGGACATCGACCTGGAGGTCGGAATGCACAAATTGTTCCAATTTGTACAATAGGTGTCCTTAGGTTGCGCCAAAAAACATCAAAGCTATGGCGACACAAGATGAACTTTGGCAAGGAGACCGGAAGTTGAGACAGCGCATTACAGAACAAATTCCATGTTTCAGAGCCTCAAAGCACCAAGAGACACTGTCTTCCTGATGTCTTTTCAGAGAGATTGCGTCAGAAATCCTGAGCGGTTCACTGCGAATGTTTCTGAAGCTCAACTAACATCGTGATTCATGATAGGTAGTCAGAAGATTCAGGTTGCTAAACAAAATTTGTTAGCGACTCAAATGACCAGGAGAAAATTGGCCATACATTGTCGCTGCGGTGGTTGCTGCGCCGTTTGCTCAAGCAGAAAGTAAGTAGGGTTTGTTCAAAGTTCGTCTCATTCCCTGGGAACCCTTTGCTAATCAGATCAGAGATTATACTGCAACCAAATCACAATCATTTAATCACTTTCCCGAATTGCAAGGGGTGTCATTGTCGTATTTTGTTTGGGTTGTCTTGGACACAGTTGTGATGAGGAAGATGATGATGGTCGTAAAAATAGTCTATGATAATCTTAAAGGATCTTAAAGGTGTGAATTTGACAGTGCGACCAACCTGAATTTCAGTGCGTCAGCTGCAAAGTTGACTTGCTGGGTGCCTCGGTTATGTCCAGATGTCACTGGATGTCACCAGATGTCACTGGCATCACCATGAGGCCGGAAGTTGTGAAACTCCTGGCCTCGTTGCTGCAGCGATCACGAATTGGCAGTCCTGTCCCTGAGGACTTTTGTGTTCAACAAATGCGTTCAACAAATGTGTTCAATATATCATATTTCAACATGTGCTGATTTTATTTAATTTCCGCACCTTGCCATGTCATTTTGCGTCGTTTGCTGCTTCGTGTTTGGGTGACTTCACGTCACCTGCTGTCTTCGGTGATTTGGTCATCAGAGGAGCTGGCTGGCATCTATGACCAGGCTGATTTGACGAACGTGTCGATCAATATGCTTCGATATGCTGCATCAATATGTAAGCTATGTAAGTTAAGTAAGTTATGTTCGTCCAGCTGCAAACTCGAATCTTTGGCATCGCCTCTTGCAGTAGACTCAGTAGAGCATGAAGACCGCAGATTTTGATGATTCTGTCCGTGTTAGCAGGACTTGACTACACCAGTAACGATTTATGTGAGTAGTTAGTCTATGTTAGTCTCATTGTCTTGGCTGGTTGCAGGAAGAGAACGAAACCTCCTTGAGTGGCTGAGCTGCAATGTACTGGGATTCAAGCTGTGAAAAAAGGACCGCTGGCACTTCTGTGCTGAGCTGAGATATCTGACATTGTACATGCACTCGTTTTGATATGCACCTCTTCAGCTTCAATTATTTCAATTACCCAGAAAGAACATGCTTGGACTTGTTTGGGCTTGCCTTCTTTACTATTGTCAGGAAGCCAGATGGTGTGCCATGCCTGTGTGCCAAGCATGGCGGAAACAAATGCGCCGAACAGGTTATACCCTCGCCAAGAGCACCTTTGGTCTTTGGCATACACTGGTCAAAATGGTGATCTTCTTCGGTTTCTGGCTGCTTGGAGGCTCCGACTGCCTGAAGCGACAGCAAAGACATACAAACTAACATCTTCGAACATCACTTAAACTGACTAAATTGACTAAATCTCCAGACCGGCTGCTTCTCCGCGCAGCCCTGCTGAGCCTTTGTTTGTTATGGAATCTGTCGGATTCTCGTAGATTGAATTCGTCCTACAGGCTTTCCTGCTATCGACCGCGTTTGCCTTCAGCTCCACCTCTCAGAGATTTTGACAGGTCCGGAGCGCGCTGTGAATTCAAACATATCCAGTATCTTCCAATATCTTCCAGAATCTTTCATTGGTTTCCATGGTTCCTGGTTGCAACAGACCTGCGATGAAAGTGGCGCGGTTTCGCTGCAGGGGTAGTCTACATTCTGTTGTTGATGGTGTTGGATCAGGTGGGGTCTTCGTTGACTTTCCAAAGAGCAATACAGTGAGATCAATGAGGTACAATGAGAGCAATGAGGTTCAATGAGAACAATGAGAATCGGCTGAAGCATGACGAAGCAAGAAAGCAGACATTTGACACGTGAACTGCACATCTGGTCAAGACGACGTAAATGAGTGCAAATATATAACAATTTTTAAGTGAATAACTCAAATGCAGACAGTTTCAGATTTTGCCTGCTCCGAACCTTGTGCGTGTATCACCTTGGGCACGATAGAAGGGAAATTCCAAATCAAACTCAGCCTTCAGAGGGGTGATATTTTCGAGGGTATGAGGTCGGAGGTCCTTGCAGTGGTTTGACTCGCAGGCGGTTGATATTCCTTGGGACATTTACCACACGTTTGTGCTGGAGGAGGGATGCGCATTGGAGATTCGATGGTGATTGGGTGCAACAGAAGGATCCCACTGAACATGCCCCATACCAATTCAATGGGCACAGGTAGGACATGCAGAGTCGTGAAAAGATAATTACATCGGCAAGAGACCCCAAACAGTGTTGGGGGTAGGAAGTCAACATACCAGATACAAGCAACAATAGCTATGAAACTGCAACAGATGAGGTTAGACATGATCGTAAGCGCAGCAGCAGGACCTTATATATATATATAATTATATATAATTATATATAATTATATATATAATTATATATAATTATATATATATTATAGATCTATGTAGAGGATTTCACCAGATCTGCAGACAAGAATTTCCTAGGAGCATCCCAGAAAACTTGCAGACAAGCACCAACGCAGAGCATCTTCAAGAACTTAATGCATGGACCTCTTGAGGAGGATTACAACAGGATCTCCACAAGATCTTCTCTCAAGGGCTTATACGAGATCATGTGAGGACACCTAGAAGATTTGACCAGGACCCCGTCAAGAGCTTCTCACGGGACCTGTACAAGATCATGCAAAGGCCTCTAGCAGCATGCAACTAGGATCTCCACAAGATCTTCTCACAAGGACCCGTACGAGACCTTGACCAAGATCTTCATGCCAGGACCCTTAAGAGAAGCTCACAAGATCGTCATAGAGGACCACCTGCTGGAGAGGATCTCACAAGATCTTGATACAAGAACTTCCCAGGAGCATCCCAGAAGAGCTTTCATACAAGCATGTCTAAGACATGGCATCTGCAGGATCTTCAGGCAATGTCCTCTTACAGATTACAGAGGATCCGGCCAGGGTCTCCACAAGATCTTCTGACAAGGACCCTGCAAGGACCTCTTAGAAAGGAATTTTTGAGGATCTCCACAGGTTCTTGTATGATCAGTGTGTAGAGGATGTCAGCCAGGTCTTCACAAGATGTGCATTTCGACTGCGAAGGCTCGTGCAAAACGTGCGTAGATTCTCGCATAAAATCGCTCTTGTGATATGCCCATGTCCATTTGAACTGCGCAGGCTCCCGCAAAACGTGCGTCCCGATCTTGGGCCCTTGCATTTTTCCTGTACAATCCTGCGTAAAATGGCTCTTCTGAGATGTCCATGTGCATTTTGACTGCGCAGGCTCGCACAAACGCTGCGTCCCGATCTTGTGCCCCGGCATTTTCCCTAAATTCTAGCAGAAAATGGCTCTTTTGATATGCCCATGTGCATGTCGACTACGCAGGCTCGCACAAAACGGTTCTCCCGCTGGTCCCTTCTATCACGACCTTGCCAAAGTTTCATGGTGCACTCTTGGAGGTCCCAGTGATACATGAAGATCTTGACCGAGGTATTGTGGAGATCCTTGTGAGAAGATGTTGTGAAGACCCTGATGAAATCCTGTCACAGGTCCTTGCAGGATCTTGCGCAGGTCCTGGCACGGGGGTCACATTTGCTCCTACCTCATGTGGGGTCACATTAGCCCCTACCTCATTTGGGGGTGGGGGCGAATGTGACCCTAGGGTACCGGCGAATGTGACCCCTTCTTTTGTGTGGCAGGCGCAATAGTTTCAGAGCCTCGAAATGATCTTTTCCACCTCAGAGAGTCATTTCCACGTGTTATGTTGGAAATTCGCTTTCAAGCAACTTCAAGACACTGGAATTTTCGTTGTAACATCCATTTCAATCAACTTGCCACATGCTCTGGAAGTCAGTTCCAAGACGCTCTGGATGCTACGTTGTAACATCCGTTGGAATCAACTTCAAAGACACTCTGGATGCTACAATGCAACATAACATCCATTTCAAGCAACTCCAAGACGCTGTGCATGCGACGTTCCAACATCCATTTCAATCAACTCCAAAACGCTGTGGATGCTACGTTCCAACATCCGTTTCAATCAATTTCCCAGACGCTCTGGATGCTACGTTGTAACATCCATTTCAATCAACTTTCCACATGCTCTGGAAGTCAGTTCCAAGACTCTCTGGATGCTACGTTGTAACATCCGTTGGAATCAACTTCAAAGACACTCTGGATGCTACAATGCAACATAGCATCCATTTCAAGCAACTCCAAGACGCTGTGCATGCAACGTTCCAACATCCATTTGAATCAACTTCCTGGACGCCCTGGATGCTAAGTTGTATAGCATCCATTTGAAGCAGCTTCGAAGACACTCTGGACGCTACGTTCCAACAGCCATTTCAATCAACTCCAAAACGCTGTGGATGCTACGTTCCAACATCCATTTCAATCAACTTCCCGGACGCCCTGGATGCTACGTTGTAACATCCATCTGAAGCAACTTCGAAGACGCTCTGGATGCTACGTTGCAGCACGACATCCATTTCAATCAACTCCAAAACGCTGTGGATGCTACGTTCCAACATCCGTTTCAATCAACTTCCCAGACTCTCTGGATGCTACGTTGTAACATCCGTTTGAAGCAACTTCGAAGACGCTCTGGATGCTACGTTGCAACATAACCTCCTTTTCAAGAAACTCCAAGACACTGCGCATGCTACATTCCAACATAAAATTCAATCAACTTCCCAGACGCTCTGGGCCTGGGTGCTACGTTGTAACATCCATTTCAATCAACTTTCCAGACGCTCTGGATGCTACGTTGCAACATAACATCCTTTTCAAGAAACTCCAAGACGCTTTGCATGCTACGTTCCAACACAAATTTCAAGCAACTTCCTGGACGCTCTGGATGCTACGTTGTAACATCCATTTCAATCAACTTCGAAGACGCTCTGGATGCTACGTTGTAACATCCATTCTAAGCAAATTCGAAGACGCTCTGGATGCTACGTTCCAACATCCATTTCAATCAACATCCCAGACGCTCTGGATGCTACTTTGTAACATCCATTTCAAGCAACTCCAAGACGTTGTGGATGCTACGTTGTAACAGCCATTTCAATCAACTTCCCGGACGCTCTGGATGCTACGTCGTAACATCCATTCTAATCAATTTTGAAGATGTTCTGGATGCTACGTAGCAACATAACATCTATTTCAAGCAACTCCAAGACGCTGTGGATGCGACGTTCCAACATCCATTTCAATAACTTCCCGGACGCCCTGGATGCTACGTTGTAACATCCATTTGAATCCATTTCGAAGACGCTCCGGATGCTACGTTGCAGCATAACAACCATTCCAATCAACTCCAAGTCGCTGTGGATGCTACGTTCCAACATCCATTTCAATCAACCTCCAAGACGCTCTCGATGCTACGTTGTGACATCCATTTCAAGCAACTCCAAGACGCTGTGGATGCTACGTTGTAACATCCATTTCAATATAACATTCCGTGTCCCCAGGTCTTTCCCTAAGAGGTTGAGTGTCATATTCAATAGTGAGGGAATTGTCTTAAGCTCTGTCCCCAAGTCCCCCCTTCATGTTCCCCAGCCCCCCTAAAAGTCCCATGTCCCCAGGTTTTACCCTAAAAGGTTGAGTGATATATTCAATAGTGAGGGAAGTGACTTAAGCTATGTCCCCAAGTCCCCCTAAATGTTCCCCAGTCCCCCCTAAAAGCCCCGTGTCCCAGGTTTTACCTTAAAAGGTTGAGTGACATATTCAATAGTGAGGGTAGTGACTTAAGCTGCGTTTGCAAGTCCCCCCTAAAAGTTCCCCAGTCCCCCCTAAAAGTCCCGTGTCCCCATGTTTTACCCTAAAAGGTTGAGTGACATATTCAATAGTGAGGGAAGTGACTTAAGCCCCGTTTGCAAGTCCCCCCTAAAAGTCCCTTGTCCCCAGGTCTTACCCTAAAAGGTTGAATGACACAGTCAATGGGAAGGATAGTGGGGTAGGGGCGAATGTGACCCCTTTTGGGGTAGGGGCGAATGTGACCCCCGTCCCCAATGAGAAGATCCTAGAAAATTAAAGAAATCAAGCAAATCCGAAGAATTTGTGAGATAAAATGGGGTCAGATCCCAACATTCCATTTTGGGACGCGTTTTATTTTGTGAGGGGCCTAGCCCAGAAACTTAACTGACAGCCATGGCAAATACCAGCAGTTATAAACGTGATCTGAGGGGGACGCAACGGTATGTATATAAAATAAAATCACATGGCCTGAGGTAAAACACCTGTGGCTGCCAGCATACCCTGGGGGTGCATTCTTTTTGAGGATCATTTCGTTGGTTTAGATGCTGTACTCTTATTCCACACTTAAAACCTCGACGTGTACGTGACAAGGTTGTTTGTTTTTTTGCCTAAATGATCCTAAATATATTTTTTCAATATACTGATTTTTTTTCTATAATTTATTTATTTGAATAGTTTATCCTAGAAGTTACTTAAATGAAAAATATACGATAATATGCGTTTGTTTGTTCAGATTATTTCTTTGAACAACATCCTTTTTAATCAACAACCTCAAACACGTTCAACATTTTATGGATATAATTGCAAACAAAAATTCGAAAGATTATTAAAACAATTCAAATAAGAAAACAAAATCAACCCAGGGGCCCAGGGGAACAAAAATGTGCCAGGGCCCCGCGTCCAGCAGTTGCCAAGTTGGGCGGGGCCTGACGCCATATTCTCTTAGTGCCTGTCCAGTCAGTGTGTGTGTGTGTGTTGCTATTTCCTATCTTACCTTATGCCGTATCATTTTATTTGCATGTTGTTCTTAGGCCCCTGCATTTTAATTTATTTTTTTAGGGGCCCCACCCCCCTTGGCACCACACGACTTTGAAAAATGCCGGGGACCAGAGCGCGTACCCTGATCTAACCCCGGCCTTAACTCCTACCGTAAGAACCCCTCAATGTGGACGCACTGTTTGGGGGAAAAAGGCCAGTCTGAGACCTTGGCATTTTTGATTATTGTTGCCCGTCTCTGTTCATGCGGTTCGCAATATTCCAATTTGTTGCTCCACAGGAGAAGTTTGGTTTCAATAAGACGACTGTAGCCACATTCATTCGAGATCGGGTCAAGGCAGGGGGCTATCCGCTCATGCTGTGGGTTGTCACGGTTCAGAATCTTCAGATATCTTCAGTATATTCAAAGCATATTCAGATAATCTTGATTTTATGCGATGCTTGAGGCAGCGGTGCTGGGTGTGCTTCTTGGAGTCCCTGTGCTGGCAGTGGTTCTTTGGTTGCTTCGCAGCATTTTGTCAATTGAGCGGTTGGGGGCTGATTATCCACGCATGCAATGTTCATAATGTGGCAAACAAAGTAAGTGAACCATTCCACTAACCAACCATTATAGGGGTATACGGTATACCCAAGAATTATTTGAAGCACTTTAGCTGAACTGCATCGGACTCTGGTTCGAGCTTGCCTGCCAAAGCCTGCCAATGTGGCTCCAGGAGTTTCAATGTCCCGACACAAAAATCAAGCCCTTGCCAGCCGGTGGTTTGGAGAGCTCACAAGAACATGTCTAAGGTTTTTGGGCAGCTTCGGAACTGGCGCCTGGCTTTGGGTTTTCGTTTTTATCTCTTCAGTCCAGGCTTGGAGGGTGAATATGAGCAAGATATTTGCTTTGACTGAACTGGATGCGTTGTTTGGTTTGCCTTGAGCCAGCAAGCCCACTGTGTTTGGTTTGGCATCAGTGTGCAAAAGCCTGCACTATCAGGACTAATTCTTGAAGTTTCCTTTCTTTGGTTTCGAGTCGTCCCAAAGCATGTCAAGTTCTAAAGAACGCCTCAGGTCATTTTGCTCTTTCTGATGCCGGTCCTTATTCTGCCCCTCTTCATGGACCTTTGACTCCAATTCGGAACCTGATTATTGGTTGAGCAGTAAATGGCCAAGGTTGTTGATTCCCAGTGCAGCGGCTGCAAGGAAATGATTCCATTACCAGATGGGCAAGCGATTATCACAGAGGACAAATTCTCTTCAGAGAAACTTCAGAGATCTTCAGAGGAAGTTGCAGATGGCTGTAACATGCTGTAACTTCACACTGTTTTTGGGCGGGTGGCACTGGTTCCAAAATGTGCCGTACCCGCAGGAAGCAGGTGAAGATGGCAAAGTTCTTCCGCCGTTTCTCTCTGGAAGGCCAGGTCCAAGTATCCAGCACCAGTTTGCCACGCTATGCCATGCGTTTGCGTGGTTTCATGCCATTTCGCGAGGTTTCAACGGTTACAAGATGTTACAAGATTTACAAGTCTAAATCCTGTTTCGGCCAGGGTTTTCTACGCGACCAACGGCGGCACTTATGCTACTCGGGATCGTCGTTTCCCAGGACGATACTATCTGGACCGATAGCCAAATTGACTGGGTGTCGTCCAACTTGCAGAGATTGACAATTTCGTGCCATTTCAATTCTAGTTCATCCGTTTCTTCACCACATTTGATTACATCAGTTCAAAGACCTGCGCAGGGGCAACCGTTGGAGATCAGCTCGAGATGGTGCAACGCGATGGTTCTTGGGTCATTGCTGCTTCTGATTCCCAGCCCGCATCTGCCGCAATCCATGCAGGGAGACTCAGATGATTTCAGATGATGATAGCTACATGTTGCTGACGTGTCTGAAATTCAAAGTTGTTTGGCCAATCAATTGTATGACTGCCTGTACAACACGTCGTGTACGCCATTGAGGCCAAGTCTGGCTTTGAAGGCACCAATCTGTGTGCCTGATTGGAAGTACTGTATAGGAGTCTTGGAACCGCTCAAATTCGATTGCAGATGGCTTACTTGTTACTGTGTTCCTGTTATAGTTGTGGTCAGTTGCTGTTGCCATTGCTGCTTTTCTTGATCTTCATGTGCATAGGTCCCGGAACACTAGATGTGGCCTAGAGTGGCCTGGCCTTCGCCTCTTCACATGAAATATATTGTCTGAATTTACTTGATGCTATTTAACTATTTGATAGAATACATTTACTGCCACTTGGTCAAAACATGACCTTCACCGGCTACCACACTGTCCCTCATCAACCGCCAGGGCAGCTGAATGCCGGAGCTCGACTCACCTTTAAGCTGTCAGAGGAGATCAAGCAGTTGGCCCAAGAAGGACGACGCAGATCTCATCACAACTCAAAAGAAATTGCCGGAAGGAAACATAGAATAGAAGCAAACGGATCAAACAACGTCAAACAAGTATATTTACCTAAAGTTGCCGGTTCAATCAAGTTCAAACATTTGGTGGGATTGCAGATGCTGATTTCTTGAATGGCCATCCATGATGCAGATGAGACTTGTGGAAAGGATGCACATGTTCATTGCTGTGGTATGTAGCAACATGATCCGACATGGTGAGACAGAGGCAAATTAGAAGTTGATGGATCTCAACCTCTGGCTTACACGCATCGCCAAGGGTGGCCTTCACATGCTTTGACCATCCTTGACTGCTCCTTGACCAGACTGCCCTTGACTAATCGTCACTTGCAGGCCAGGCTTCTGCTGATCCTTTGGTGCCTCGAGGACCAGCCGATTCGGTTACCGCTGTGTGCGTTGATGCAGGCCTCGCAGTGACTCAGTGTATCTCGGGTTTTCATGGGTGTTTTTTTGGAAGTTCAGAATGTCAGGAAATGTCAGGAATGTTCAGGGATTTTTTGTGCGTGCATGTGACCTCATATTTTTGCTGTCAGGCTTGCTAAGAAGTTCTTTGCTGAAGCTGGCCAATCAACTGGGGTACTACGGCGCCAGTAGCTCTCCTAAACGCTAAATTCAATGAGCCTGCATTCAAAAAAGGTGTTGGCAAAACATGGCAAAAAACTGTTAGTTTTTGTGTGTGTGTGTGTTTGTTTGGATTTAGCCATTCGTTCCATTTCGCTGGCAATTGTCCCATAGGTATCCAAGTCATTCCAAGTCATTCCAAGTCATTCCAAGTCCAAGTGTTCCTTGTTGTTTCTTTGTTCGACTGACATATAGCAAATTTCACGAACGGAAAACTACTGAGACATCTATGTCATCGATGGCTCTGCTCGCAGCTCTCACAGCAATGCCTTCTGCACAGGTGCTGAAAGTGGCACTGAATTCCGTAGTTTCCATTAGTTTCCATGTGTTTCCATGTGTTTCCATGTGTTTCCATGTGTTTCCATGTAGTTCCATGTAGTTCCATGTAGTTCCCGAGTTTCTGCGGCCCATGCCCTGTCAGGCTTTGGGCGCTTTCGGCGAATTTGTCTTTTCGACACACTGCTTCCACTCATGAGCGAGGCGAGTCCGATGAGGGTCAAACCGTTAAACCATTTTAAACCACTAGCTGCTAGATGCAGTTCTTGTGCATGCGCTTGGCAAGCAAATGCGACATCAGCTTCGGTGTCAGCTTCAGTGTCAAGCAATGTCAAGCATGTTTTCATGATGTTTTTCCGTTATTTTTCTATATTTTTCTGCCAGGGAGAGATCCTGGCTGTTTTGGGACACGAAATTGGCCACGATCGGCTGTACCATGTCCACACTATGTTGCTTATCCGCACAGAACGGTGAGCAAAGACGGTGCACGAAGCTGAGGGACCCGAGAAGTCTTCAGGAGCAATTTCTGCTCTAAATCTACAGAAGACAGAAATCTGAAATATGCAGAACTGCGAGAATAAACATACAGATTAATACAGATTAAATCAAATTGCATCCATCAGATTAAATCAGATTAATGATATTTTAATGATGATCAATAATTAATGTGAAATGTACAATTGAAATGTACAGAGGAGATGCAAACAGGAATCCAAGATTTCTGACCAAAGCTATTTGAGCCTAGCAAAGGGGCAGAAATGGGGAAGCGAAAGGAAGCTCGGCAAATTCTGACATGTGTTCAGAGCTGTTCATAAAAAATCCAGCGCTTGACATGTAATTTTCGAGGTTCGGCAGGAATCAAGGTCTATCAAGTTCCTTTCAGAACTTGCCTCCGTCATTTTCTGACTGTTCCGTGGGAATAGATGCCAATGGAAATGGGATGGAAATGGAATAGATGGAATGGACATGGAAATGGAATGGAAATGGAATGGAAATGGCATCTAATGGCATCTAATGGCATCTAATGGCATCTAATGGCATCTAATGGCATCTAATGGCATCTAATGGCATCTAATGGCATTCGAATTTCGTTCATCTTGGTATTTTGATCCCTTGCTCTGCATTTTGCTGTTGCTCTCAGGTTGGTGATGAGCCTGGCGTACCTCAGCATCACTCTCGCCCAAGTTTGTTTTTCTTCGTCTCAAATGATGCTGCGTTGTGAAGTGGCATGGACAGTGTGCACGTAATCATGCTCATCCGTGCTCTTCATGATTTTTGTGATGCTGCTCAAGAATTATTTGTAGATAGAGTATGTCACGTATATACATAGTTTGATTATCTTGTTGATTTGCTGCGAAACAATTCTCGGGCAGTTGAGCACTGTCCTTCTGGCATATCACACTTTTGAAACGAATGCGTTGTGGTGCTTTGCTTATCTTTGCTTCGTGCTTTTGCCTGAGATATTTCTTTGTGATGATGTATGCCCTGGGCCACTTCCTCGCGTCCCCAGCATTGAGTGCAGCATTCTTCAGTGAACCCAAAGCTGCTCAGCTGATGGTGAGACAGTCTGAGACGATGCATCATTTCTTGGCATCGTTTGTGCTCTGACAAGCCCACTGCTCATCCACTGCTCGCTCTTTCTTCATAGCCCGAGCCTGATGCAGTGTAGAATGCTGTGAGGAGTAGTTACTGTATGAGATGTTGTGAGTAGTTAATAACTTTCTCAAAGTGCTCTGCAAGCCCTCGGGCGGTTTTGAAGTAGATGTCATCAGATGTCACTTTCAAACAGCTGTCAAGGTGAGAGCAGCAGGGAAAGGGGCTAAGGCAAGTTCTGTTACGTAGAAAAGTGATGAAAAGTGCACCCAAAGGAAAGCAAGGAACGTTGACAAACATTGGCGGAACTGCGAAAATGCTCAGTTTGCATACATGAAAGCTGCTTTTCCCTTCTAGTTTTGGATAGCGGCTAGGAAATGAAGATGGGAAATTGAGCTTCTAAAAGAGTGTCCATTAGACTGCTTCGCTCTACTGCTTATGAAATGGAGCTGTAAATAGAGCCGCTTCCTTCCACTTCTCTTACACTTTATTCGCTGCTTAAAGTCAAAGGAAATGTACAGCTTGATTTCCGTGCGATCCGCTGGTTCAAAATATGAGCAACAAAATACAGGCCAGCGTGATTACAACCGACGCTGTAAGATGTTCCCTGCAAAGTTTTGCGGTGACTAGTTTCGGCAACTTTGTCCTTACTAATTTTGTGCAAAGATTGGTATGGTGAGGGGATGCTTTTGAATTCAAAGTTCCCCTAATGGCACTTACTTATACTTACTTTGTGTTCATCCATTCAACCAGGCTACATTGGCCCAGCCTGTGAATCAAGTACCTCCACGGTGTTGAAGATATCTCTGAGATGCAAAGAATTTCGAGCTTCAATCAGTCCGCAGCGTCTACAGCGATGTAGATACTGAATACATTCTGAATACACCTAATCCACAGATGTTCACAGACGTTCACCAGGTCTATCTCAGCGTGGTCTTCTTCACCATCATTTGGGAACCTGCCACTCGGCAGCGGTCATATAGCGCTTGCGGGCATTTGTAAACATTCCGACCATTTCCGACACATTTTGTGCGTGCTCCGCTTTTCTTGAGCCAATCCATGCTGTGGCAAGATCTCAGGTTGACTTTCCGATGTCGGTGTTGATGAAGATATTTTCGCGCTTCAATGAATACCAAGCTGATCGGTACAGTGTTGCTGCAAATCGACAGTACGGGCGTTTCCTTGGCACTTTGCCTGAGAATGTGGGACACTGCGAGAGGATTTCCTGAATTCCTTCTCTTCCGTTTGTGTTCGTCCTGTGAAGAGCTTCGCAAAAGTGCTTCCGTTCAATTCCTGGGATGGTTTAACAGGTTGGTGTATGGATGGGTTTGGTTTGTTCTTAATTAATACACAAGACTCACAAGACCATCTTTCGGAAGAAAATCAAGGGCTCATGTGGCTACGATTTCAAAGATTGACGAATCAGGCGATGCTCTGAAGAAGATGATGCGGAAGAGCAAGGCCAGGTGATACTGAGGAGACGGATTCACGACATTGGCACCGGATGGCACCGGCTCCACTGGCCATTTCAGAGATTCCGAGATGGCACAACTGTATACAACTGTAATACAACTGTGCCATTTCATTGTCCTATTTGTATCATTTTGTATCTATTTGTCCTTGGCCAGGTAAATCTGCAACTTGGATGCATTTAGACTCATTTAGATGCAAACTAAGTTCAAATTTCTAGTCCAACCGGTTTTCCACATGAACGCAGCGGCAAAACAGAAGTCGATGACACAACAGGGCCCACGAAGACATGTTTTTGCCAGAAGGTGTCCCTCTTTGTTCCTTTACTTCGAGCGTACACTCAAAGGCACCAGCTCTGTGTGCCAGAGAAACTAGCGATAACTTGCGCAAGTCGTGAATTGCTCAGGACGCCTCATCCATTCCACGTCTTCTTGAACAATTCGCACCCTCCGCTCGATGATCGCCTAAAAGCCATCCGTGACTATTACGGGAAGTACTACAACGAGAGAATGTGAGCTTGTTGGTCCAACCAAGGCGAAAAGAATCAAAAAGATAGAAAAAGTAGGAGCATCCGAGCATTCGCCGAGCATTCACCGAGCATGCTATGGTTCAGTGAGGACCTGGCTTCACAATCCCACTGAAAGTTGCCATTTCATTCGAAATTGCACTACACCCTTTGCAAACGATTAGTAGAAGCACGATGCCTGCGCAGTGAAGGCTACTGCCACCATTGTAAGGTTTGAGTCTTTGTTTTTTTTTCATTTTTTCTAACAGACCTGTCTTGATGTGAAGCATAGTGAATCGTATGCTTTGTCTCGTTTGATGTCTCAAGCGGGGCGCGACCACGAAGCATCCGTGTCGCACCCTAGTGCAGAGGCAGATATATGACTCATATGACCCTTGTTTGCGGCGTTGAACATTTTCGAGTTTGGTCATTCACGTTGGGGTATTCATGGGGTCGGTGCATGTCATTTCAAGATTGAAGGCATGGTGTTTTTACTTTGCAGTCTTGCATTACATGGACTGATACATCTTATGAAAACAATTGAACCTGGATTTGAATCCTTGAAACATGAAGTAACTTGAAATAACTTGAAATGCTGGAAATGTAAATGCTTGAAGTATCTTGAAGTAACATAAAATATAATAAAATATATAAAATGAAATTGTTTGAATATGTTTGAATATGTTTAATATATTGTTTGAATTACTTCATGGATTGAATCAGTGTTTGTCACCTCTCATGAGTCCAGGCCATGGCAGCGCCACGACCCTTTGGGGTGGCGCTAGTTCTCCTTGTGCTGGCCCAGGCCAAAATAGGGCAAAGAAATGCAAAGAGATGCAAAGAGGGCAAAGATATAAAGTTTATTAAAGTTTATATAAAGCAAAGATGGAAAGCACGATAAAGATCAATAAAGCACACATGTAAAACATTTGCAATACAGTTGCGAAACAGCAAGCATCAAGATGAGAAACAAAGAGAAATGGATAATGGTTGACGACTCAAACACAGCATGCCAAGGGCCATGCAAAGTGCCAGGCAAAATGTTGCAACTGTGTAGGAAGACGTTTCTTATCGTCAAGGAAACGTATGGGCATCGGCTCTTAAGCTATCGTGAAATGAGTTGTTGGGTCGGGCAGTTGCAAAGAGGGATGGACAGACCATGGCTCAACAAATCTCAAGCCTCCCATAGCCTCCACCCTGTTCAGCCTTGTTGCTGAATTTCACGGATGTTTGTAACAAATATTTGTTAATTGTAACAAGCGATTTTTCACAAAGCCTGTTTCCTCCTGTGTCAATTCCAGGCTTGGTACCAAGTGACGGTCTTCGTGGGCAGCTCACTGGGTTCACCCCATGCATCTCTGCTCAGAAGGCCAGGCATTCATGGCAGATGTCAGATGCATTTCAGTGTCATGTTTTATATTTTTATATGTTGTGTTTTTTGTATGATATTGTTTCTGTACTTTGTTTGTCAACCTTTTTGTCTAACGGTCATTCCGTCCTTTCCGTCGTTCCTGTTTGGCCTTGTGCCAACTGTGCCATGGTAGGCCTTCTGCCTCGCCAGTGACACGCTTTGCAGAGGGAGAAGAGGGCGAAGGTGAAGAGGCACGGTAACATTGCGCAAACCATTAGAGCAATATAGTAACTTAGTAAAGCTATGGAACTTCAACGATTTCCAGCGCAATGTAGAAGAAAATAGGTTTGTGACTCTTAGGATACACCGTAGAACTTGTGTCAGACATGTTGTGATAGAAAGCTTGCCAACTGAGAAGGGCAGAATGTCAGCAACATTCAGCAAAGATGATATCAATGACATTCAATGACTCAATGACCCTTTCAACTTGACACAGCCAGGGCGAGGAGGTGGTCGTGAAGAAGCCGCGCTGACATGATTTGCAACGTGTGCAATCACAGGATATAGTAGATGGATACTGTCAGTGCCGGAATTATAGAACGGAAGTTGAGGAGTACGAAGGTACGGTTATTTACCGTACCCTGTTGTTCTATAATTCTTTTTTCCTCGGAAGGTATGAAAAAAAAACGTATCTGAATTTACTCCTGGCTCCGTTCTATAATTCTGGCACTGACTGTAGGTTTGAACAGGTTACCAGGTTTGAAAAGGTTTGGATGGGTAATTCATTTAATTCCTGCAGAAGTCATTGGAAAAATCCTACTGTATCTAAATAATTCTAAATATATCAACTTGCAGCACAGCATGAGCAATCAAGCCAAGTACAAGGTGAAGAACCCTTACTGTAGTTGATCCACACTGTTTGGCAGAGATGCCATTCAGGGTTCCGGCTGTAAGTCGTGCCATATTGTTGTAAGTCGTCCCGGCTTGTGTGCCCAAGCTGTTTCTGAATTCCAGGTTGCATATGTGTTTTAATTTATTTATCTAATAATCATAATGTTATATATATATACGATTGTATATGCATTATTATTAGCATTATTTTTATTGTATTTTTCTTATTGTTATTTATTATTGTTATCATCATCATTATTATGATTATTATATGTATATGTATATGTATACTCCACTATTGTGCGCACGTGTCATGATGACTGCATTTTCATGCTTCTGTTCCCATCTCAGCGCTTGGATTTGAGAAAGGACAACTCACAACTCCATTTTCATGCAAACTCTGCATACCAAACTCTGCATCCTTTGGCAATCACTCAACGGCAGACCTTCAACCGACTGCAGTGATTCCATTGCTTTTTTTATTTTGAAGGTTGCAGGAAGTGAAAATGGTTTGCTGCATAGACCCCAACACGACATTATATTGGTACACCGCAAAACGATGCAAAACGTAGGGTGTAAGAGTGTAACATTGGTTGCAGATGGTTGCACTATGTCACACGGCATGTCACACGGCATGTCGCACGGCATGTCCCACGGCATGTCGCAATGATAGCCTTCTGATGCCTTCTGTAAATGCACCCGGCGCCGACTGCGCCAGGGTGGCCTCACCCTTCCGTGGCGTGGATTTGGACGGTGACAAGTTGGACAATTTGGACGAATGGTACGCCGTCAGGGCCCTACATGACGGCATATGACGGCCTACGGGACAGGTGAACCGCGAACCAAACTGACTCATACGATCTAATCATATCCTCAGGATTCCACAAGATTGTATAGAAAGGATACACCTGGAATCAATTAAGATATGCCAAATATAAATAGCTCTTGTGAAATTGCGATGTAGAAAGTTGATGATTTATTGTGGAGGGTACAGTGAAAACACAACAAGGAATGACAGCACAGGCGACCTGCAACTAAAGAAGTTTCTTCGAAAAACGTTTCAACAGTTCCAACCATTGATTGGCCCATTTGTATCCATTTGTTGGGTATCAGCATGTGGAGATGTTCCCTTGACCAACATGCGACTTGCCGTTCGAATGCTTCCAAGCTGGCTATAGTGTCCCTATATTGTCCCAACATTGTCGTCGTGGCCAAGATTTAGGCGAGCATTCCACGTGATCCGCCGAGGACACGATTAGTGGAAGTGGCGGCCCGCCAACAGGGCCATGACCTCAGCTACGGGGGAGCCTGGTGCCCTGCGACAGGCAGTCTTGGATCATGATGGGTAGAATTTGGTAGAATGGATAGGTGTGACTTATCGCAATTTTGTGATTCTATGTGCACAAGAATTTGCACAAGTATATCGCTACATTTGAATAGATTTGATTCATATCATTCCATGTATATGGTTATCAAAATAGGTGTCAAGTGTCCGCACGCACATCAAGATACTATTTTAGGATAATATATATATAATTATATATATATGTATAGAATGCCAGCGGCGAGCATGTTCAAGTCATCACAGATGCAGGTTCATGAAGGACCTCATTCTTAGGACTGGACTGTTGTCGCATCGCTGAAGTGCACACTGACACATGTGACCCTTGAAGTCGAAATGGCACATTTCACTGCAGTCATCTCCAGTTGTGGGCAGGAGCTTCTTTGGAACGTGGCGTGAGAACGGATGGTTCAAAATGTCACGGAAGTACACTGGCCACAAGGGTCAGGCCAGCTCTTCAGATTTGATCAAATTTGATGCGATCAGAAAGATATCAAAAGATTCAAAAAGATATGTTCTTGTCATTAAAAACATTGAAGACCACTTGCATGTGCGGGAAACAAGCCAAGTTGTGTAAGGTTTAGATACGTTTGTTGGAAAGCTCTTAAGTTGAACCCGTCTTTGGCACAGTTTGGACAGTTTGGATTTGCACCATGTGGCATGTTTTGCCTTGAGCTTGGCACGTTTGTCAGCCTTGCGAGAATGACCACATGACTGCCTATGAGGCGAGATTCCGCAATAGAAAGCGGTTTGCCAAACATGGTTGACCTGTGAGGGTCAAGCCAGTATCCACTTTTACGTACCTTTGCTTCGTGTCACCTGTTTGGCCCCCCTTCAAAACAACTCTACAGCCCCATGGTTGCCAAGCGTTTTTTAGGCCATTGTAGGCAACTCTCTGTTCTGCGTGTCTGCGCTGCAAGTCAATGCCCCCGCGTGTGTCAGACCTTCAAGCAGAACCTGAAGGAGAACAAGCGTTGGATCGGCCAGGACATCTTGATGACCTCTTGATAGATTCAAAAGCTTACTTAGACTTGAAGTAAGAAAACACCAATGCCGCAGAAAATGGCTGAAATACAACTTGAAACGGACATGATTTGTGGTGGGCAACTGTTGGTGCAACGCATGGAACAGCCTTTGCATTCGCAGAGCTAGCTGGAGAAACTTCAAGATGACTCATGGGATCTCGCGACAGATCGGATAGCCGGTGGGAAGTGGTCATGGCTGGATTCAACTTGAATGAACGTAATGAACGAACTTGAAACAAAGATTGAATTATTTTGGTTGGCAAATCTTTGTCAACACTGTGTCACATCCGTCACGTTGCTGACAGTCTTGGACTCCAGGATGATGGCAAGGGCTGGTTCTGGCTTGTGGCAGGGCAGAATCCAGGAGGCAGTCAGTCGCCATTGGCCTGTCGGGTTCTGCCCAAATCAAAAAGCGTACCCGGCGTACCCTGTAAGCACATGCAATCGTTGTTCATTCTATGACTATGGCGGCTTTGGGTGCTTATGGAGGATATGGAAGATATGGAGCGTGCTTGCGTTGCACTTTGCTTCGGGACATGGTTTGGACTTTGGCCTCGTCCCCAGGCCTTTATCTCTACGTCATGAAATCACCTCCCTTTGGGTCAGTCCCGGCTCGCTTAAAGGGAGACACAACATGACACAACGGGATACACAAAGAGAGACCCGGTGTGAGTCCTGAGATGTCCTGAGATGTGGCCATGTCACCATGTGTCTCGGATGCGGCTCATGGCAAACCAACTGGCAAAATTGATCAAAGCTGGCACGTATAATCTGTATAAACATAAAATAAGATAAATAAATGCAAGTGGCAACCACTGCCACTGACACACACTGGCCTGTGCAAGTGGGTTGATTCATGTCACGATGCCTGATACTTGCCACAATCTCCCGTGACACATCAGGGAGCGCCCATTGGCTCTCATCAAAGAGAGCAACGTGGACGAGTTCTTCGAGAAGGTGAGCATTCGGCACCATTAATGCTAGACAGATCTAGACAGCGTTAAACATTGTTAAGCTGTTAAATCTTGTTTAAAATTGGTGGATGGTTGATGACGGTAGACTGCCTTCCCTTGAAGTCTGTAAAAATTTTGCACTGGTTTTCCTGCATTTGCGAGGTCAATTGGCACATGCTTTTCGTTCGACTTCACAAGTGGAACCTTTGGGGTGGCAAGGCTCATGACTCCTTTCAGCATTGTTTTTGGAGCAAAACAGGAGGACAGAAACTCAGAAAGTGTGCTGCGGGGAGCATCTGAAAGATGGATTGCTTGCAGGCAACTGAATTCCCCTACCCGATGATGTGGCGGCTGAGAAACTGAGGCCCTGATTCACAAAGAGTCACAAAGAGTCATCAGTCATCAGCTATTCATGACCACAGTCTTTCTATGTGTTTTGTGGCTTGCGGACAGAAAGGGTCAAGAACTCGAAAAGCTTTTGCTTTGAGCGAACGGGCTTTGAACGGGCTCCTGCTTTTGCCTTCTGGAGCTTTGTTTGAGGTACGTCGTTGGATCTGCGAGAACTCGCAAAAAATGTGTCCTGAGATCCTTGGATCCTTAGACCACTCAAAGTGGGCATGCACATGGGCCACTCATATCACTCATAACTACGTAATCGTTGCATAGCAGTACTAAATTAATCTAAATTACACTGGAATGAATAGTTATGATTTAGATTGATATGTTACATCAAACTTCCCTTCTTGGACAGAGGCCAGCATCAGAGAATTGCCATGATGTATTGCTAAACTGTCCTGTTCTGCTACTGCATGCTGCACTGCTACAATGAGCTGTACTGCCTTTGTTTTGTGCTCAAGCGCCAGAGCTCTGCCCTGAACACAGCCATGCACTGGCCAAAGGCGAGGACTCTTCAGTCGTGACGCTTCAAGTTGTAGCGCTGACATGCGCAGACTGTCGAAGTTTTTGAACCAGGCCTCAGCATGGCCAGGGGCAGATTGGTAGAGATGAGGCATGCTGCGGCTTGACATGACATGAGACATGACATGAGACATGACATGAGACATGACATGAGACATGACATGAGACATGACATGAGACATGACATGACATTGCATCATGATGCATCATGCACTGGTCACATGTCGCATCTTGTCGCGGTCAATCTTGATTCCCTGTTTGAATTCCAATCAGATGCAGAAGGATGGGAAGGATGGGAAGGATGTCCCTCCTCGCAACGCACATGACATCGGGTGACAGCCAAAAAGCCAACGAACTGTTTCGACTCCTTCGGCCAAGGGATTTCAACAACTTAGAGCTTTTGTCCAAGCAGAACAGGTGAATACGGTGAATTGCACCGAAGGTTTTCAGAGCTTTGCTACATCCGTTACTTACTTAATTAATTTACTTACGGGATCTTACGGGCAAACCCTGCAGATGTCTGTCTCCTGTAATGAGATCATTTGGGCAGGTGAGGGTGGTGGAAATGGCACCGCCTAGTAGAAGGCGTGGTTCGAGATGGGTTGAGCCTCTCCAGTCTGAAAAGGCAAAAATGGCAAAGCATCATGTTTTGAAGAGGCGATGTCATGGCCAAGGCCACGGATACATTCAACAATTTCAACAGAATGCAAAAGAAGCCATGTGGAGAGACGTTTAGCACTGTACAACATAAACAGCTGAATTGTCAGAGGTATGAAGTGTGACAAGGGCAGATCCACATTGGGAAAGATCGTTCTTCCATGAGACTGTCCTGCACTGTGCTCCAGGACTTTCCATGGCAACCCGCGAGAAGAAGCACAGAGAGATGCAGCAGGCGTGGCGCTTTGTATTTTCGGAAATCAGATGTGAAATGCAACAGGTCACAATTTCTCAATACATTTTGCGAGTCCTGTCCTCGGTTTCTCATGGTTTCTCCAGTGCCAAGACAGTGCCGGAAATGGTTAGAAAGATGTGAAGCTCGCCAGCAGTGGGATGGCAGAGACCGATGATTTACAGTCCTGCAGGAATTAAGCTTTTGCAGAAGATGCCGCAGCCATCCCCACAAAGACCCAGCGAAGGTGCGCTGGCGATGTGCAATTTCAGACGCCAAACTTGCAGAATTTGGCTTGCCGTGGTTTGCCCAAATTTATCAAATCAAACAACAAGCTGAAGTTGCGTCAGTCAGTGTTGCCTAGTCTACAGTGGCTGGCTCATGGAAGGGGTCCCTTGAGTTGTCCTTGAAAACTTGATTTCGAAAGACTCATTGGCTCTCAATGGTCAAAAGATGTCAAAAGCAGTTCGGCCAGGCATGAATTTATGTCACGTGCCTGTTCAATGGCATGTCTGAATATGTCTGAATATGTCTGATGTCTGAACGTTCAAACTTTTTCATGGCAACAAGATGCAACAAGTTATGCCAGTTATGCAACAAGTTTCAACAAAATATGTCAAGATTTGTGTGTCGTGGAGGTGACCGTGTGTTGCTGAGAACGAAGCCGCGGGAGAAGTTGGATGAGGCTCTGGCGCTCAAGGTGCGGTCGGGATGTACTGCGCAATATGACTTCAAGAGACTCAAAAAAATGATCAGATGAAATTAAGAGATTTAAATATATTTTAATATGATTTAAGTTAAGAGTCATATGATGTCAAGACTTGTTTTTTAGCCCTTCGGGCGCTGACTTGTTCAAATCGATTGTATTCTTGTGTCAAATTATTTGTGTTTTCATGGGCAAGGCCTCCCGAACAGACAAATATACTGATATACATTGTTACATAATCATATGATATTATATATACACACAATTATGTATATTTATATACATTATATATATATAGTATATATATATAGCAATTCATTTGAACATGCCTGGAATGTGAATTACAGCCTGGCAAGGCTGGCAAGGTCATTCTTTCCTCTGTATTTTATGCTTTTTATGGGAACCTCCACTATCTCACAGTGCAGGCGCGCCTCACGATGCACAAGTGGAAGAAGGATGGCTCAACCTACTTTCCTCTCACAAACGGCACAAGGCTCAGAGATCTCGGGAAAACGCGAGAGAGATGCTGCAGATGCTGCCTGCTTAGACGATCTTAGACGCCTGCCTGAGATGGCGTCAGTCTGGTTGTGGCGACCGCTTTAGCTGAGGAAACAAAGAGGAGCTGCAGGCTGGTTAAAAACAACCGCACAAGGCTCTTGTTCGAGAAAGTTTTTGAAAGTTTCAACCAATGACACTGATCTTGAGGCAGGTGTGTTTGTTCAATATTCAGTTTGGAAAGAGTCTAACGATTGATAGCTCTTTTACGCGCGTTATGATGTGGCTCCCACTGTTCTCCTCACCGTGTAAAGGTCGGGAAGCAGAAGGAGGACAAAAACAGTGAGAGGAACAAATCTGGACGAGGTCAGCGAGGCGAATGGCCAACGCTTCAAGTCACCTCAAACCCGGTTTCATTAAATTGTTGGATATTGTTGGTCTGTTTTGGCGACCAGTGTTTTGTGATGTTTTGTGAAGCAAATCGCTGTGGCGAGGTGGGCTACCTGACAAATCTGACAACTTGCAGCTTGGCACAGCTCAGCGAGAAGTATCGAGAAGTGATGGGAGAGAAACCTGGCCACCAAATCCACGTTTTTAAAAGCCACCCATCCACGCCTCGCGGGTCTTAGAAACGTCCGCTTCAAAATGGGTTACAAAATGGTCTATGGGATGAAGATCACCGATGGCTCCACCTTGTTGCACTCAACTCACTATTGAAGAAAAAAAAGCAGGTACTGCAGAGATAGCGTATAAAATGAGACTTAGATGCGTAGCCGGAATCAGTTCCCTCCATGATATATTGGGCTCGAGTACGGGCTAGAAATGTGGCATTCATTGTCTCCTCAATAAAAGACCTTGGTTGAGATGCATTCGTTTCCCATCAGAGTATCCATCCATGCGTTTGGCATGTTCTTTTGTTGCAATTCCCAATAGAAAAATCTCAATTCTTTGCTGCCAATCAGAGACTCTTTCCAGGAAGAGCATCTTGGACAACTATCCCGGAAACGACGAGGCAAGCTGACAAGCTGGCAAGCTGGGCCAAGCCAAGCAAATCATAAGTTAGAAAGAAAGTGGTGAAGAGGCATTTGTGTTTTCCATTTCAAACCTCACCATTGTAGAAGGAGCCACAGACTGATACACACCTGCATTCGGTTTTGGGAGGATCCAGACGTCACTAGCATTACAACTGCAGTAGCAGCTGAATGGTTTGCAAAGTGCGCAAGAAGAAGTATAAGAAGCAATTGCCCTGCGGCAAGGCTTTCGCGCCTCCACCCAGAATAGCTGACAAGAATGAGGTCGCTTTCTGCTGGCGGTCGCATTGAACAAGAGCTGCCTTGTGATTCTGCATTTCTTAGAGCCCAGGCAGATTCTGTGACACTTTGAGGATGCACGGGATGTGGAAGGGTTCCATGGTACCAGGAAGGAAAAGTTCTCGACAAAGCTGTCCAGCACTCAACTGGCATCAAAATCATCAAAGCCATCCCATTCTAGAAGCCGAATTTGCATCAGGATGAGCACTGGTGGAGAAACAAAGTGCCAAATGCCGTCGGTAAGGCTAATCCACTGTACACTGAAAAGGTGCAGCCTAGGATGCATTATCTCATGAAAAACTATGCTCCCTGATGAGTTTGCGCCTGTTTTGAAAAGCTGTTTTCAGAACGGGACAATGGTCAGGCCAAGTCCTTGGTGTCATACAAGAAATGGATAAAAATGGATCGATTATGATCAATTCAGTACTGATGCTTGTGGACGACTCTCCGCTGACCCAAGGACCTCGTAGATGCCGTGTCCAACATTCTGATGCAGATGCCACCGGAGGCATTTCGAAGCTGGTGTGGCCAACTGGTTTGGGAATCTGCTTTTTGCTGTGTTCCTTATCCTTTTGGAAAGTCAAGTCTGGACGTGCTTTGGTGAAACTACTCTGCTGTCCAAGTTTGATTTTTAGATTGACAACATGCGATGAAAACCGGTTGGAACTCATGACTCCGTTTATTCTTTGATTACTTTGCCTCGGTATTTTTCAGTCGTTCCCTTCCGTTTGCACTGACACATATTGCCACCGCCAAATTGTGTTGCAGAATATCCTTGAATCAAGCAGTGCAATCAGCATGTTGGCCGCGAGCTTGGCGATATCTCAGCGTCGCGATTCAGCTTGCAATATCTTGCAATGTGAAGCGTTATAGAATATAACATCATATATTCGTATCGTACATATCATTTCATTCATATCATACATATTCGGTGTAGGTTTCAGACACAGAGGTTCTATTCCCTGAATCTGGAAGCTCATGACAGTATACAGTGGAAAATAAACAAGGGAAAGCGCATCAGTCCGAGATTATTTTCGCAGTTAGAGAAAGCAAATTCAAGATTTCAACAGTGACACGTGATGAGTTTGAATTCTTTTGGGTCTTGAAATTCCATTCAGGCTCGAAAACTGGTGGATGGCAACGACAGCGCTATTGACTCCTCTTTCAGCCAGAAGTTCTTAATCATGTCGCAGATTCAGGCAAGTCAACCTCAAGAGCAACAATTTAGGTGTCCCCAGGATGATTTGGGGTAGAAGATGGTCGAAGATGGTAGAAGATGGTAGAAGTGTAGTGAAGTGAAAGCAGCACATGTGGATCTGTGATGGTCATGCAGCTCCAACTGTGCCATTCACTTTGCGCACTCTGGCCGTCTTTGGAGAGGTGGAAGTTCAACGCCGCTTAAAGGAGGCTGCAGCGGTAACCGGGTAACCAGAGAGTGACAAGACGCGTGCGCGATCGGATGGCCTGACTTTACAACATTTTACAACCCTCACACGGTGCTTATGTGGCTGAATCTTCTGAATGATACGGCGACAATTTGCTCATCGCCAACATTCGCTTCGTTTGCTACTATTGAGATGATTGACCAATCGTGCGACGCTGTTGCAGGCCAAAGGGTACATCGAGGAGATTGAAAACATGGACAAGGTGCAGAATCCCAAGGCGAGTCCGTTAAGGATTAAAGCATGCAACAACTTGGATAGGAGGGTACTGTGCAAAAGGCAAACCACATCGAAACACATTCGACTTAAAGGTCCTACGGCGCCGCCAGAGTTCGATTGCGAGCCGCGCACTCAGAGAACCAGATCAGGCTGTTGGCCATCTACATCATTCTAATTCATTCTACATCCATCTACGCTGTGTGTTTTATCACAGTCTTATCATGTCTTATCACAGTTTTAGTTTTGTCACAGCTTTACTGTATCCGTTTTTGCTCGCTTTGCTCACCCAAGATATGATTCGACTTCTACACGGAGGAGCACCCTCTGCACCACCACCGTCAAAGTCAGAGCAGGTGGCCAACCAGCCCCAGTCCAAGATGCGCAAGATGTCCAAGATGTTTATGATGTCCAGGCACATGATATGCATCAATATACAGTATTTTAATATATTTTAGTGTATTTTATATATATATATCAAAAAAAATGCATCCTTTTTTCAATTTTTAAATTTCAAATCGGAACACTTCGTCAAACGCGATAAGACGCTCGAACTTCAATGAGAAACCAAGATAAACCAAGTCCGGACGCAGCTCATCGATGAATGCGTAGTCAAGGGACCAGGGAGCGTAGTAAAACGTACGAGTTTACGGGTTAAACAAGGAGCATTTGGAGGACTTTTTGAACACAATCTATGTGTAGAAATTGTGTTCATATGATTTCATGTAATAGATGTTCCATATTTACATGCGGCTGTACATCATGCGTCATCATACTTTTTCTATGGTTTCGCTTTCGGCCAAGGATGCGGACGATTCGTCGCTTGTTGCAGTCTTTGCATTGGCCAAATCTTCATCATGAGTTCTTGAAGTGGGTCCGAAACTCCGCAGGAGAGACCTGCAGTTTGAGTCTTTCGCAAACCAACTTCAGACACCGCGGTCAATTGTATGACACTTGTTTCACCTTGTTTCCTTGCTTTGCCAGAATTGATAGCGATTCTGTCGACAGGCTACGAGGTAGGTGTTCGGGACTTTCTGCGAGGCATGGAGGAGGCAAGCTACGATGTGATGCAGTTAGAAATACTAGAATGCTTGTGCCGGAAACCCAAGAGGTTGTTTTGGTGATTCTTCGGTGTAGGCTTTTCATACATGCTTCGCAGATGATTCTCACATATTCAAGGTGATTTCAATAGGTGATGATTTGCATGCCAGGATTTCGATCGATTTGATGAGATTGACCTTTCTCGTGATGATGCGGAATCCTTACGTTTCTGCTGCTTTGCGGATCTTTCCAGGGAAGATTACATGTACTAGTGACCAGTAGATACAAGATGATACAAGAAAAAACTTCAGACCATCAGACTACATAATGTCACGTACTGGCACTCTTATCTTAGAGATGTCAAGAGAAGGAGCAAGTCATGTGTCCGAACCAGCAGTAGCTGGACGTTTGGGCAATAAGCACGGCAGTGGTTTAAGGTCTGCGTTTCAATGACCAAGCACGAGCTGCGGCTGCTTGACTATTTTAATTGAACTGTCAGAGAGTAGCCTCTGCTGGAGAGCACGAAAGCAAGAGGATTTGAGCAACCAGACCGACTCAGAGTTGGCTATTCGCAGGATCTAGTGCAGCAAGGTCATCATGTGAATCTTTGAGTCTTTCAACTTTCAACCTCTTTTTTCGATTGAAGACATTGGACACTCCCACACCGCGCGATGCAAGGCTTACGAAGAATCTACGACGTTACCAACTGCAGATGCGGAATGCTGGGCAGGACACAGTTGAAGTGCGACCCTCCAAAAAGGATTGTCAAGACAGACCTGTAGAATTCTGTAGACAATCAAGCGTTCGAAATCGTTCGAATATTGAAAAAAATGAAAAGAAAGGGTGACACTGACACAGGCTTGAAGAATCTTGAAGATTTGATAAGATTTGAACAGCTGCCTGGACGCGAGCAGTAGCAAAGCAAGGATCCAGACTTATTCAATTCTGATCCCTGTCCAGCTTCGCCGCATGCCGTATGAGGACCTGGCTAAAGGAGAAACAAAGCTGGACAAAGACCAGAGGATGGGGGGGTTTGGGATGATTTGGGTGGTTGGAGGGAACGGAAAAGCCAAGTGGCCAAGTGAAAATTGATGAAAATTGGATTGTTGAGAAGGCGAAAATGGTGTTTTTGAAAGGATGCGCACGGGTTCCTGCCCGTCGCTTGACCAGTTGCCAAAAATAGTTAACAGAAGTTTTGTATTAGGTTTTTTCACATCCATGTCCATGTTCAAAGATTTTACTGCTTGTTATTTCAACATGAAGAAAGGTTCAGATGAAACTTGTAACACTTAGCGCCTTAAACCTAAGATAAACCTAAGGATGTCTTGGTGAATTTCTGTGCTACTCAACACAATTTTCCATCATTTTCCTATATGTGTAAGGTTGTCGTTTAATTTTGCAAATTTGTGCGTAATTTTACCCGCCAAAAGTTGCAAAAAGTGGCTTTGGCTGACCCGTGACCCAGTCGCCGTCAGAGAGCTTGTAGTTTATCCTTTCTGTTTGACAAAAGCGATAGTGACAGAGGCAACGACAAGCCTTGCAGCCGAGAAAAAAATTGAAGTTGTTGAAGTTCCACGACTAATAAGTAGCCTACTCCATATAGATGTGCGTTAGCATTTCCTGCAGAAGATTTTTTGACAAACCGTATTGTGCATTTTACAGGAAGCTTGATCAAGCGCTGGAAAGAAAGGCAAATGACAAGAAGGCTGAGATTCGAACGGCCCTTAGATTTTAGCCTTAGATGAACACTGATCATAAGTATCATAAGCATGTAGAAGTTCTGTAGAAACATTTATATGTAAGCTGTGTGGGCAAGCTGTTCCCCAAGCTGCTTGTGTGCCACACTGTTGGAAACAGCATTCATGCTGACCAAGTAGTCTTCAGGCCGAATTTCCTTGCGACGCCACTTCACCGCTAGTATTGGTCTTGGGTGGCTTAGCTGAAGAAAGTGCAGATAGACTGTCTCACAGGTCTCACAGGTCTCGCATGTGTGACATCTTGTGACTCTTCTGATTTCGCCGCAGAACCTTTCCACATCTTTCCACATCTTTCCACATCTTTCCACAAAATGCTTCAGCCTTTCTGAGGGCCCGCAGTCCACGGGGCAGCCCATCGCCACGCTCGTCCCGCCGTTCCAGTGTCCAACGCGGGGGATCGTCGGCAGCAACGCCATCAGCCATCAGCACGGTGCGCATTCAGTGTGCCAGGGGGGTTCAGTGCAGCAATGATGATTCAGCAGTTCATAATGTTTATTGATTCATTCGTTTGATTTTGTGTTGATGCTGGATATTCGGTTTTGTTTGGCAATCTATTGAATAATATTAATTCAAGCAGGGCGAGCAAACAAGCAAGATCGTTGGTGCAGCTAATTGCTCTATTGCGATCGCATGCATTTGGCGCATGGAGCAACAGCATGTTTGAGCAAGTTGCATGTTGTTTTGTGGACAGAACGCCATCCGTTTGATATCTTGAAAATACTTATCTACTCTGATTTTACTGTTGCTGTCCCTGATCTTCGGCAAACTGCTAAGTAAAAATCAGTATAAATCCAATGCTAGTTGCAGCTGGTCGCCATATACGAGTGAATCTAAAAAGTGTTCAGCCTTTGCGGATCGCAGAGCAGACATTCCACTCCATTCCAACAATTACTCCCGGGCAAACAAAGACGACATAGAAAATCATTGAAAGATATACCGTAAAGATCCGTAAAGATCCTTAGAGAAAATTCAGAGAATGCTTCGTTGCTTTTGGTTCTTCAATGGACCAGGAATCTGACGAAGCTCGTGAATCCCAGGTCGCGCATGACATGGTTGTTCAGTGTCGCCGTTACATGTTGTTTTCATGAGCCCAGCGAGAACGATCAAGGTGATGCTAATTCGCAGAAACAAAACATATATAGATAGGTATATATATATATTATAAAAAGAAACAGATCAAGCTTGTGGCTAGTTGACCCATGGTCAGACCGCAGAATTTGACTCGATGGCGATGGTCTAGGCAGATGAAACTCCCAGTCACCAATCAGATGGACAAGGCACGGGAATCCGGGAAACCTGGGAAACCTGGGAAACCGGTGCCCAGATGTGACAAGTGGAAAATTGCGGGTGGAAGCCGTCGCAGAATGGTAGTTACGTTGCACGGCTGCTTCGGATTTTGTCTTTTTACACCATTTTTATTGTTGCAATATGTTGCAATGAACAATTGTGTCTTTCTGATTTGCCTTTTTTATACACAACTCAAATACTCAAATATGTATTAGACATGGCATGAAAATGGCTCTATCTTTACATCATGCGCATATTCATATTGTATCAAAACTTTCCGAGAAAGTATGTCAATTCTGCATGCTTGAGGCATGGAAACACCACGTGAGAAGAGTATGATGGATCGACCATGTGGCCTTGTGTAGCAACAATGGAACAACTCTCCTCCACCCAATACACGTCAACCCACTTCGGGCAAACACCCGAACATTCGCAGCGCCGACGAGGAGAGTTCGACATCAATAAATTCGATGATGCCAGGTGCGCCTTCATTTTGTTTGAACATGTTCAGGAACTGTTCCAACCATTCCACCCAATGGGTGACGGCATCCAATTTAGAACGCTGAAGTAGACAGAAGAGAAAAGAAGAAAATACAGTTGAAATACATCAACCAGGTATATATATAATTATATATATATAATATTACATAATTAATTATATATACATACATACATACATTATATACATTATATACATATGATCATAAGGACCCATTTTGGAGCACTTTGGAGCTTTCAACGAGATTTGCAGAGAGAAAAACGAGTTTCGTTAGTGCCCGAGCCAAGCCTTGGCAGATTTGGGCATCTGAAGCGGATCTACAAAAACCATGAACTAAAGATCGAGGCGACGACAATGTTTGACATGATTTGACTGGCTTCGCATGCCATTCGCATTTGCATTGTGCCGCCTTGCCAGACTCTGAATGACACTCTGGCTCGAGACAACTTGCGGCTCAACAAGGTCGACTTTTGAGTGCTGGAGAGACTGCCGGTTTAACATCGTTTGACATTCAGTTGCCGATCCGTCTGAAAAGTCTTCAGATGAGGCTCTCTTTGAACAATTTAATTACAAGATCTGTTTTATTGTAGGTGTTTTTTTTGTACTGCATGTAGGATCTACTGGGTACTGGTAGCGTTAGCAGAAGAAACCTAGCCGTTGAGACACTTTGAGGAACAACAAAAGGTGGGGTCTCTGTATACTGGATATGGTGAAGACCTTGTGCATCAGTTGTTAAGTTCCGGATTTCTTGAAAGCTGAGACGATTGCGGGAGAATGTGAAGATTAGTATAAACAGCTGTGGTGTTGTCGTGTTCATGTGTTCGGTGCCCGAAGAGACACGCGAATGCGGACCTGTCCAAATCTATCCGCCTGACGTAGATAAAACATGATAAAACATGTTCTGTCTCACCCTGAGTCTCCTGAGTCTTGCATGTCTTGTCGCACTTGCATCAGCCATGTTTGTTTCTTGAATAGTTTCTGCTGATCTTGCAGGTGATTGAAGAGCTGAAGGACCAAGTGAGACGATTGCTGGAGCTGCAGGCATGTCGTGAGTGAAGACTGATCCCGGTGGAAATTTGAGGTGCAAAGGCGTTACAAGCTGAGGCTATCATGAACGATTCCCGATGGGTAGTCTCGCTTTGCAAGCGAGGCAATAGACAGATGTAAGGGTGTATCTTGCACGTCCTGCATTCACCAGCATTTGAACAATCTGGAATTGCGGAAGGCTCTATACGAGTCAAAAACCAAGAATACATTGCGTCGTGGGTCTCTTTTCATTCCGCGCAGGCCTGGTTGAACAATGCCGCAAAGACAATATGGAATCACATTGATCAATGTTGTTTCGTTTGTTGGATCTGTAGTTGTTGATTAAAAATATTTGAAAAGATGACAGTAACTTGTATGTCAGACCAAATTCAGCCCGAGGCGAGCTCTGATGATGAATAGAAATGAGGCTAGCCTGCTTTGCTTCTGTATTTTGGGCTTGAGAAGAATATGTTGAAACAACGTTCCTACAAACAGACGTTTGAGATCCGTGGATTGTCAGCGTTCTAGGTTCGTGTTGACTTCAATTGTGTGATGAATCTTAGCAGAGGCAGATGCCAACAATGTCAACATCCTGGCAAAGCGCATTGATCTGTCCTTAGTATGCTGAGTCCTCCAGAACAAGCAGGAGGGTACACTGGGTACACTGGGTGTCAAACATCGGTACACAACACATGTGATAAAGATGGATCAAGATGGATCAAAATGGAAAAGATTCATCAAAATGAATCAAACAGATTGTCAAACAGATTGTCAAACAGATTGTCAAACAGATTGTCAAACGGAGTGACCGGACGGCGTCAGAGCTCAAGACCATCAAGACCGCACCTGAGGCGCATCTGCAGGGAGAAAGAGCTGATCTCATGGAAAAGATCAAGGCACGAAAAGCACGGGCACGGGCAGC